TAAAGTGAATGAAAGAAATCATCCTCATTAACTTCATTTTCTGATTTCTTTTAAACTTTTATTTGTTTTGAGAGAGAGAGAGAGCGTGTATGTGTGCCAGTAGGAGAGGGGCGGAGAGGGAGAGAGAGAGAATCCCAAGCAGGCTCTGTGCTGTCAGCACAGAGCTCAGTGTGGTGCTCGATCTCACGAACCGTGAGATCATGACCTGAGTGGCCATCAAGAGTCAGACACTCAACCGACTGAGCCACCCAGACACCCCCTGATTTGTTTTAGGCAAGGGTTTCCGAGCTAAAGAGTTTTGAATAGTAGTTTTAGATGATGCTTGTGGGGACAGGTGTCTTGGACTGCTTGTCATGGAGGTATTTTTCTTTGAATTGGTGAGGATATCAGACACGTGTATCCAGCTTGCCACGGAGCAGATGGTCAACGGGGAATCTGCAGGGGCTGCTGGGCTTCTGGTCCGGAATCTGTTCGGTTTGGTTTCCTTCCAATGGCACTAAGCACACAGCACTAATGAGGCCAAGACTTTCTTAGAATAGAATCTCCATCAATCACCAGCGTTCCATGGCCTGCGGGGGGCCAGGGGACCATGTGCATCAGTCGGGGCTGACGGCACTCACCCCTCACTCCCTGTAATTCTTCAGTGGACACGTGGAGAAGAATCTGGAATGTTCTTTGGCCATCCTGGTGAGGAGGATGCTTAGAAATCTTTTTGTTTTTAATTATTCCTAATGTCTCCACCATAATAATCTCCTATGTATCAAAGGTGTTTGTGCACTAGAGGCTTTTCTGCCAGCCCGGCTGCTCACGTCTGTTGGAGGTCTATCAGACAGTCAGACTCTGAATACATCTAGGGCTTAACTCCTAAGCCAGACATCTGAATTGCACGTACCAGCCTTGAGTTACAGGTTCTCCTGTTTTGTTTTGCTTGTGTGCTCTCCAGGACGCTGCTTTCTCGGCCGTGATTCACGACAAGCTCCAGGTCCCCAACACCATCCGGAAGGCATGGAATGACAAGGACAACCGCTGTGACATTTGTGCCACACACCTGAACCAGCTGAAGCAGGAGGCCATCCAGATGGTGGTGACCTTGGAACAGGCAGCTGGCAGTGAACATTACGATGGCTCGCCTGGCTCGCCCCCAGCCCTCTCCAACATGCCCACCCTGGTGGGGTCCCGGCACATGGGTGGGCTGCAGCAGCCCAGAGATTGGGCCTTTGTGCCTGCCTCCTACGCCTCCCCCAACTACACGGCTTTCGTCACCAACAAGCACAGCAGCAAACCCAACAGCCTCGGGGTCAGCAACGGGGCCGAGAAGAAGAGTGGGTCCCCAACCCACCAGGCCAAGGTCAGCCTTCAGATGGCCACCAGTCCCAGCAATGGGAACATCCTCAACTCAGTGGCCATTCAGGCTCACCAGTACCTGGATGGCACCTGGTCCCTGTCGAGAACCAACGGGGTCACCCTGTACCCGTATCAGGTAAGTAGCCTCTGGGCAAGTTAGAATAGGGTTGGTTGGAGTCCATGCAGAGAAGTGGGTTGCACTTCCTGTCTTTGCTCTTTTCCTTCTGGGGACTTCCCAACTCAGAGCCCAATGTTTCCATGTGGCCCCCCCACTGGCCATTGCTAAATAAAGATGAACCATATGAGGGGCCAGTGATCCATGGTAGCGCTCTGCTTCCAATGTCTGGACCCTCTAAAAAAGGTGTAGACTCCCTTCCTAACCCCTTCTGCCTTGTTGGACCATAACCCTTTTCTATCTGCAACTCACTTTAAATACGGTCGGGATTAGGTTACCAAGTGTCTTTCCGTTTTCTTATTTTCTCTTTTTTGGTTGTTTAAATTAGCACATACTCCCGAGTTTCCCTATAGAAATTAAGGAAGCAGGTCCTAAATCTGCCAAGGGATCTTAAAAAATTGTCTTAACTTTTCTTGGGTGAGTTTTCTGTTGGATGAGGGTTGGGCTTGCCATATGTGTTCTCTGTGTCCCCTGCATCAGTCATGTGGCAAGCAGCAGAAAGCATTGAAGTCCCTGTGGATTGGAGGGGTGGCCATGGTCACAGAGTGTATTAGTCAGGAGATCTCACTGGTGTAACAAATGACCCCAGGTTATTTCTTACTCGTGGCCCTGTTGTATCGGGTGTTTGGTGCCTGGCCTTCCACTCGTTTCCATGTCACCATCTTCCAGGGGCCTCAGAGTCTGACACTAGATCTTGTACAAGCAGCCAAGGAATGAGGGAAGAGAGAGATTGTGGAGAATCTCATGGGGGGACTTGAGGGACCCAGCCTGGAAGGGACATAGGTAACTTCGTCCACATTCCAGTGGCAAGAATCCAGGCTTTTGGCCTCACCTTCCCTCAGCAGAGGCAGGGAAAGCCAATCTGACCGTGTTCCCAGGGGAAAAAAAAGAAACAAGTTGAGAGAACACAGTATGGTTTTGTTACGTGGGGCAAAGGTACGGGGGAACATAAAATGCGTTAAATGTGGCTGATCAAATTCCTGGTGACTTTTCTAGAGTGGAAGAGGGAGTATAGATGGCTTGTCTTGATATCTTGAAGGAAAGTGGGGAGCCTGGATCCTTATCTTAAGAAGTTAGCATTCTTGGATCGCCAGACTGCCATTTACTGGGTGCTTTGTGGTTTGCAAAATAGGGGGGCGCACATCATTTTATTTAACCTCACAGTAGACCTGTGAGCGGGCAGGACGGATGTTAGATCTTCCTTTATAGACGGGGAACACAATGCATAGAGAAATCAAATGACCTGCGGCCACACAGTTGGGGACGGCGCCAGCACTGGCTTGCCACTTCTAACGTTCCCCCAGCTTTACCCCAGAGCAGTGTCCCATCAACATCTTTCCCAGATATGGCTCCTTTCCAGACCCGACATACCAAAGAAAATCACTCCTGTGTTGACCTGCAGGGACCTACCTGCCACTTTACTTTGGGGTGGAATTTTCTGGATTGTGAGTATGAAAATCTGATGCCGAGCCAGCGGCCCCCTGGATGGGGCTTTATCATCTAACGCTTGAACATAACCATGGAAGGCGGGAACAGAATAGCCTCTTTCCGCTGTTGAGTAACATACCTTTTCTGTTCGAGATTTTAAATATATTATGTTGAAAACTAATAAAAAAGTATTATGTTTCCTATAAAATAACATACAAAAAATACAAACAAGTATAAATAAGACTAAAAATCAACATCACCCAGAAATGGACTGACTATATAACTGTTGGGTATGTTTCCTTCCAGGATTTTATACAAGCCCAATTTATACAATTGTGATTATGTTTAATTCTGTGATCTGCTTTTCGCTTAATATTACTGGGTGCATTTTCCCATGCCATTATATATTTTTTTCTAGAATAGGATCCTTAATGGTAGCATAGTATGCCATTATATAAATATGATCCATTATCTGAGTGTGGCCTAATTTATATACCCAAGCACCAATTATTAGAGTTTCAGTTTTCGCTACTATAAATAAAATGCTCGGGTGCACATTCTTGTACTCAGGTCGTATTTTCAACACACCCTGAGTTGTGTGAGGCACGTACTCATGTTACACAGACGACTCATGTTACACCTTCCTGGGCCCCAGAGCACTTGTGACATATATCAGGTGCTAGTTAGAAGATTCAGCTGCTGCACAGCACTAATGAGCAAGGATGAGGGATTGGGCCTTGGTGCTTTCCTAGAAAATAGTCAAAGTGTTAGGAAAGTTTGTATGGGGTGGGTGGGCAGGGTAAAGATGCTGCTTGAAAGCAAGATTAAGGATTTTTGATGATTTTTTTTTTTTTTACTTGTGCCTGATTAGTGTTGCTCCTCCTCTTCTTCCGTGTCTGCTGAAAAAGAATGTCCTGCCCCATCACAGATGTTTATTAAGCTCTAACCAAGTGCTGGACACTGTGCTAGGTGTCGGTGGGGCTCCGGCGTTGGGCTAGAACCCCAGGTTCCGGTCCCGTGGTCTTTACGGGGTTGGGCGGGTGAACCACCCAGTGTCAGCCGGGGAGGTGAGTGCGGGGGTGAGAGAGCGCACAGGAGGGCTCACAGTCCAGCCCGTGGGCGAGGCCGATGCAAGGATGATTCACACAAGCCACCGACTTGAGAATTTCCTGGGTAAATTCGAATGCTTCTTTCCGACTCCAGAACAGGCTAATCCGTGCATTTCGGCCTAGTCGATAAAGGGATCAAAGGGAATCTGTCTGGGATAAAGAGATTTGGTGCCTGGCTGTGAATCGGTGCCCCCGTGTCATGACTGTGTCATCCTGATGCCCTGGGCTAGGCGATCGGCGTCTGGCCAGACTGAGTGTCTCCCATTACGGACATCTCCCTGCCATAAATATTCTGCAGCTCACAGGATAGCCAGCTCAGCAGACACGGCTGACTGTTCTGAAAGCTGACCTCGCTTTTCCTGCCCACCCACGCTCCTGCTTCCCTCCGCACAGAGCAGGTAGCCCTCTGGACCGGTGCCAGGGCTGTTCGCTGAGCAGAGAAGCATCTAGACTTTGTTGCTGCTGAAACCTGGAGCCTGCAGAAACGTGGGAGAAGAGGACGTTGTCCTTCTCCCATTTAAGTGCAGGGAGGATGACCAAGATGAGGACAGGCTTTCCAACACTGACAGGGTGAAACCTTCACATGGGTGATAGGAAGGTCCCTCACATTCCTCAAGCCCCCCGTTACCCACACCAAAGCGCAACAATCTCCAGTTGTCTTTCACAGAAAGACCTTCTGCTGTTGGCTTGTAGGCGATTAGCCCAATCTGTATACGTACATGGAAAACAGAAAGTACTCTAGAACCTTCTTTGGACCACATGGGTTTTGACTTTGAAAAGACACATCTGGGTTAGTTCCTTGTAGTCAACCACAGGTTAATTCCATCTTTTTTTTTTTTTTTTTTCTAAGTCGAATAATCCCTTGGAGTAAATCCATTTTATTTGTTTTGTCTTCTTTTTTAATGTTTACCATTTATTTTTGAGAGAGAGAGGGCGAGTGGGGGAGGGGCAGAGAGAGAGGGAGACACAGGATCGGAAGCAGGGTCCAGGCTCCAAGCTTTCAGCACAGAGCCCGATGCGGGGCTCGAACTCTCGTTACCATGAGGTCATGACCTGAGCGGAAGTCAGACGCTCACCCGACTGAGCCACCCAGGTGCCCCTGATTCCATCTTTTTGAAAGGCAGCTGCTTTTGCATGATTTCTAGTCATTATAGTAAACACCCGCAGGGAACACTGCACACACAGCACTCAGAATCAACAGAATGTTGTGATTCCAATCCAGAATCACAGAATCCAGTTCCCTAGAGTGGTTCACTGTCTTTTGCATCACGGTGGGAGAATTGGAGACCTTCCTACCTGGGTCAAGTCCATGGCGCCACCCGTTGGTGAACCTCAGTTGAGTAGCTTAACGTCTTAGTCCCTTTCCTCACCTATGGAATCCCGACCTTGTAAGGTTGTTGGACAACAGTCAAGAAAAATATGAAAACATTTTATAAGCTCTGGGGCAGGGATGCAATTATTAGGGATCTATTTGAATCCCCTCATTTGCCAGAAGAGAAGCCTGAGGCTGGGAGGTAGGAAGTATTTTGTGTTCACTCTTTCCTAAATCTTAGTTTGATCTCTCTTGCTAGATTACAAACCCGTTGAGAACCCGATGCCTTTCATTCTTATGTCGCTCACAGCAGCTAACCCGTGCAAAAGTGTCTGCTCCTTAGAGACAATGCCAATCTCAGGGAAACACTAAAGGTGTCTCTCATGTCTGGCCCTAGGTTCAGGAAAACATTCCAGGCCAAAGGACCTCTTGAGACCCCAGGAGTTTTGGTAGAAACCACCAGTTTATGGGCACCAAGCTTATGTTTAACCTGAAGTATCTTTAACCTGAAGTATCTTAACGATACTCAGTAGATCCTTGGACGCAACGCAAAGAATCTGGCTGGCATTTGATGTCACACTCAATACAGGGGCACTTGAAGGGATAGGAGAACTTTATTTCCTAGGACTTCAATAAAGTCAACATGTCAAGACAATGTAAGATGATGTTAGATTAATTCACGAATCATAAATCCATAATGGATCATTAACGTGATAGAGTATTGAGTGTGCATTCCTTGGGTTAAAGGAAAACGTCTCTGGTGTAAAAATTATCCTGCTTTCTCAAAAAGCATCCATTGGAATCCATGTCAGAGACCGTGGTAGACGGAACTATGGCTGAAGTCGGTGTGGGATTGTCTGTTTCCAGAAGACGACTGTGCCTAGTAAGTCACAGGTGTTATTGGAGTTTACATTTTAGGTTATGGGCAAGAGGACTGCGGTAGCTCCAGCAGCCTACGAGCGAGTCAAGGCTCGCTAAGCCACGAGGCTCGTGCGGTACCTAAACTTGCTCTTGAGAGGTCAGACAAACTTGGGAGGACGTGCTGCTGGTCCTTTTTACGGAGGATTTCCGAGCGCCTCTGCAAGAGGAAGGAAGGAAGATTCTGCTCGCTA